TTTCTACCATATCCACTAATTTATCACTGACTTTTTTTTTAATACTATTATCCATTTTATATTTGAAAAGTTGCATAACACTTTTCAAAAATTTATTTTTTATGCAACATTTCACATGAACTTATAATAGTTTATATATTTTAAGAAGTGAAAATGAATGTGTTAATTATTTCACTTAAAATAAATTTCTATTATATTTATATTTTTAAAAAAATTATTTTGATATAAAATTTATAATTATATTATAATTAAATTTTTTATATAAATTATATATCCGTGCATTACCTTCGAGATTTACCTCAAGTCCCTCCAAAATCAAGTCAAGACTATCAAGTCATCTTTTCATCAAAGCCAATAAAATCCAACAAATCTCCAGAACAATAACAAATCGCCTGTAAATCGGGTTTTTTTTTTTAAAGATTATTCAAGTTATCTCAAATCCAAGCAACCAACCAAAGAATCATAAGTCTCTTGCAATTTCTTTGAAGATATGCTTCTTTTCACTAATTCATAATAAAGCCTTCGATCATGAAATTCACTCAAGTTTCTTTTTCACGACAAAAGACGTCGTTTTGAAAAACCGTCAATCACTCTATTTGAGATTAAGTTGTCAAGCTTCAATAATTTTTGCTTTCATTGAGATCAAATTAGAGGATTATTTTCTTGCACAAAATATACAAAGAATTGTACTCCTTGTTTGATATTTATAAAAAATTGAATTTTGTCAATTGTTCATGTTGTTGTAAATTTTCGAATGAAATATATATGTAGATATCCACCGCAAGAAAAGTTTGATTTAGGGAGAGCTTTAGTGAAGGGTATATCCCTACTCAATAAAGGTCTTCTTTTCAGTAAGAGTTACCATTAACCTTTACTAAGCATTTGGCACGCCACCGAAAGATTAGGCATGTTTGAATTTTTATCAATTTAGCGAGGGTAATTGGTGGTCCTCACCATATAGGATTTCCTCCTCGACTATTTAAGGTTGTCAAAACGATCACTATGTAAGTTTCTATAATATTAAAATTTAACTTCATGCGATAACGAATTATTTTTATTTTATTTAAATGTAAAAAATATATAAATTAATATTATTTAATCACCTAAAATATAAGTAATATAATTAAGATGTCAATTAAAAAATTAACAAAATTTAAAATATATGTTAAATAATATTATAAAAAAAAAAAAATTAAATTGGATTTCAGTTTATCTCAATATCTTTATAAATAAAAAAGTGTTATGACTTTGAAGAGTAAGAAGCATAATGGATTATAAATTTTTATTCAAAGTAATGATCAATGGGCCATTTATATTATATAAAATATGATTTTTAAATTTAATTAATTCTTGTTATTTGTAACAATGTTTTGACACGAATACAGAGAACTTCTCGTAAACACCTAAAAAAATAAATAAATGCCTCCTTAACTTTCACTTTATAATATAAATATATATATATATATAAAAAAGAAGTATCCACAAAATGTGAATAACAATGGCAAAAATAAATAAATAAATAAAATTGATGTTAAGAAAATTTAAGAAATTAATTTATTAAGAAATTAAATTTAATCTTTTAAATAATAAAAAATTATCATGAAATCTATTAAAATAAAATTATATTTGATACTTTCTTAATTTAAAAGATATATACATCTAAATTATTAAACAATTAATTTAATATATATATGTATATATTATTTCTCTAATTGAAAGCGGTAGGTGAAATTTTTATTTAACAACAAAAAATTTTAGATATATGTTAATAATAATATTTTATTTTATTGGTTTTAGGATGGCCGGGAATTCGATAAACACCTCTTGAAATTGTATTAGACCAAATCTTATTAATTAGTTACATCCATCACTTAATATTATTATAAATTAATCATATTATATATAACAAATTAAACATATAAGAAAGTAAATTATACTTAGAAATTTTATTTTATTGGCCAAAAAGAAATATTTTTTTTATGTTTTAACATGTAGATTTTTTTTATATAATACAATGAATCAATGAGTAATTATATTTGCATTTATGGGCAAGATTAGAACGGTAAGAATTTACATGTGTGGGGCTGGATGAGCTCAGAGCATCAATGGCAGGATCCTTAGTTTTTCAGTACGTATAGCTAAATATTAGAACATTAATTTTTAAAAATAAAAATATATAACTAAAAATATATTTCACAAATAAAAATGATTCTTTTTAGATGAAATAAAATTTTTGGATAATTAAAAATTTTCAAATAAATATATCTAAAAAAATTATTTTTTAAATATATTTATTTATTTAATCTATCAATAAAAAAAGAATTGATTTTACTTATTTAAATAAAATCTTACCAAAATACAAAATAATAATTTTATCTATTTAATTATTTTAAATCTAATTTGGCCTTTTTATTTAAATTTTTGAAAGTTTAGGATAATTAAATAAATTTTAAAATATTTTTTTTTGATAAGTAGTCTAAAATTAAAAAATATTTAATGTGTCATTAAAAAGAGAAATTGTATAAATTTTCTTATGTGTCGAAAATAAAAACTATCCATGTAAACTTTCATAAAGGCAAATCTTATATGATAATCATGTATGTTATAATATATATATATATATATATATAATTAGAGTAAATTATTATTTTCTTTTAACTTTTTTGCAATTTTGTGTTTTGGTCCTTCAATTTTCAAAACCAATATTTTAATAATCTAAAATTAATAAATGTTATCGTTTTGGTCACTTGACAGTTAGGGAGCATTTGATACATAATATTTTAGATTTTGAAAAGAAAAGTGATTTAAGAGAAAAGTGTCATTGAAGGAAAATGTGTGATTCTTAGGTTTTTATTGATTTACGAAATGTAAAATTTTTATATTTGGTTCACGAGAATATAAGATTATTTAATAAAATTTTTTACTATATTGTCTTTGATTGTACGAGAATAATACATTACATTTTTACTATTGATATGTGAATAACATATTTTTCATATTTTCAACAAAAACTATATTTTTTATCTTAAAAATGTCCTTTTATTGAATTCTAAAAAATATATATTTTTTATGTTTTCAACAAAATTTTTATTTTTATTTTAGAAATGTCATCTTTTTAACAAAGACTGTATTTTTTAATTTAGAAATGTTATTTTTCTTAAATTTTGAAAAATATTTTTTTCATGTTTTCAACAAATACTATATTTTTTATCTTAAAAATGCCTCTTTTATTGAATTCTAAAAAATATATTTTTTATGTTTTCAATAAAAATTTCATTTTTATTTTAGAAACGTTATTTTTTTTAACAAAGACTATATTTTCTATCTTAGAAACATCATTTTTGTTAAATTCTGAAAAATATTTTTTTCATGTTTTCAACAAAGATTTTGTTTTCTATTTTAGAAACATCATATTTATTGAATTATGAAAAAAAAAATTTATATTTTCAATTAAGATTGCATTTTTTTATCTTAGAAATATTATCATTCTAGGTGATCAATTATTACAGTTTATCAATGATTACATTTCCATAACAAAATTCAATAGTCATTGATATAAAAAATATATAAACCAAAATTTAATTTTATCAATTACTATATTTTTTATATAAAAAATGTAGTTAAAAGTAAAATAAATATTATATTATATTAAATCTATCAACAATAACTACGTTTTTATATAAAATAAATTATATTTTATCGATTACTACATTATCATATTAAGAAACATTGTTATCACTAAAAATATAAATTTTATTTTGTTATTATTTTGTATGACTAACTACGTTTCATATGTTAAAAACATAATGTATCTAAAACTATAAAAAAAATTTCTAAATACTAATTCGAAACAATTTACTATGTTTTTCTTTTAAAAGCGTTGTTTTTATTATAATTGATTTTTTCATAACATATTATATTATATTACTACATTTCTAACATAAAAACGTTTTGTAGATGAAAATTTTGTTTTATTAATTTTTTATTTTATACATCTTTCAATTATGTTTATAATTAATAAAAAACATTGTCTATTTGAAACTTTATCAATAAAAAAAACTATTTAAATTTATAAAAATTCAAATATATATAATTATTGCTCAATTTCTAATTGTGTACCTAAGAATACAACTTTACCCAATCATGTGACTAGGAATGTAGTTTTGTGTGCGAAAATGAGTCTCGATTTATTATGTAATTATTTTTATTTTTAAGAGTAAAATAAACTGTATAAAATTATTATTGAGATCAAAAGTGGGACAAATTTTATATTTTTTCAAGATCTTAAAAAACTTCAATTTTGAGAAATGAGTTTTTGATTGAGGATTATCATTTTCTTTTTTTGACACTGTTAAAAATCTTAAAATATCTCAAGAATCAGATTCTGTGAATCAAATTAAACAATCAAATTATAAAAAATAAGATTTCAACCTATTATCTTTCTCTCGAACTCATGTTCAAGCATTTTCATTGTAATTGACACCCAACCAATAATCCATAAGAAAGACATAGATGAAGTTTCTTAGGTGAAATTTCTTAAATGAAGTTCATAAAGTTTCATATTAAAAACGATTAAATAAAAATAAAATTAAGAAATCAAAATCAATAAATTAAAAAATCTTATTACATTATTACATAGATCAAGTCTACAAATTTAAAAAAATTTTAATAAATTTTGATATATATATTTTTAGCTAAATATTTTTAATAAAAATGTTAAAAAAAATTTTATTGTTAAATAAATATCGATCAAATTTAAATTATAAATAATATATATTTTTTTACATATTATTGATTTTTACATTGAATTTTATTAATTTATTAATTTAAATTTTTTATTAAATAATTTGTTTTTAAAAAAATTTAATATGCTTCGTATAAGTTGTCCATAACCCGTACCCCAACCTAAAAGCAAAAACCAACTTGCCCAATTCTAATGGGCACCGACGCTTTCTCTTTCTCTAGCTTCTTATCTTACCTGGCAGCTCGTTTGGTTCGTCGTGCACCCTCTCCCTCTGTTTCTTCCTCGTTCGAAGAATTGACTTGGTTGGGCTGGGAATGAGGGGCATGGTCGGAGCCGGGGTGTTTGTGAGCATTGTAATATCATACACCATTTCTGGAACAATTTCACGCGTCCAGGGAATTTCCACAATCAATCCTCTTTCTTTCCCTGCGGACCTTCCGGTGTCTTCAATGGGAAGCGTAGCAAAAGCAGCTGATTTTGCTCTCTCTCTCCCAAAAAAAAGCGAGGGAATTATATATAATATATATCCTTTTCCTTGCTCTACAGGCTTCCCCATCTTCATTGAAAAAGAAGAAAAATCAGCTTCAATCATTATCTCTCGGATTCCCTGTTTCTTCTCTCCAACGACTCTCTTTATTAGGTAAGTATAATAATGCTTTGCAACGAATTCTGAATCTTAATCATTTAGCATCGCTTTCAGTTCGTTTTGATGCTTTAACCGAATTCTTAACCAACGCCATTATCTTCTTATCTTCTCTGCTTTCTTTCATCTCACTCAAAATCACCATTCTCTGTCTTAATCTTTTATTCTTTCAAGGTAAAAATGGGGAATTGTTTCCCTCAGTCGAAGAAATCCACGGCGGAGATCGCGCCCTGCGATTGCATCAGGCGTTTTAAGCCTGTTCCGATAGCACCCAGGGTCCGGTTGTACGGTTCTGCTTCGAGTACACTCGCTGCCTACATTCGGTTCGCATTGCTTCACAAGAACTTGTCTCTGCAGTTCGTTCCCACCGATAATAATACGTCCTCTGACAGCGAACCGCTGGTGCTCGAGATCGGGTCTGAAACCGTGTCGGGTCACCGAGAGACGCTGCTCCAGTTCATTGAGGACAAGTTCCCGCACCCCCCGCTGAGGTTTAGTTTGTTGGACACGGAGCCGTTGGTGGTTAGGGTAACGTGGCTGCAGCACAAGAGTATTACATGGCACTTGGAGAGAATAGTGAGGTGGGCGGACGATCTGTCAACACGTGGAGGGAGGAGGACGGTTGATCCGGCGGTGGGGAGTCCACGGATGGAACTGAGAAAGTTCGGGAAGAATTACTCTCAACTGCTGGAGGTGATGTTGGAGCATGCTCAAATGGAGGAGAGAGTCGTCTTTCCCGTGCTCGAAAGGGCTGATCGAGGTACCATTCTCATTACCAAATTTCATTTTCTTGTCTGCTTTCAACTAAGAATGCTTTATTTTTCAGCTGTTTTTTAAAATGGCCTTTAAATATAATTAAGGATGTCAATTTTTGTGGATAGATGATACCATTCTATAAGATATTTCATTTCTACAAATCTTAGCTAATATCAATCTTGTATTTACATCAAAGCATTCAATTGTTGTCTGATTCTACTTGTATTTGATGGCAACCTATTATGTATATATAAATAACCATGTATCATGTCGCAAAATTTACCTAATCAATCAAATAACTAGACCTAATCATTTAAAACAGGAGCATTTCACTTATAATGAGTATAGTACAATTAATCTATCACAATTTAGAATTATGTCGGTCCATCAAAATTTTATGTGGACCCTCCACTTGTAAATGGTGGATCCCTACATAATTCTTTATTATAATTGGATAATTGTAGTATTGTAGTAAAAAAAAATTGTAAATGATATGCTCCATGATGACAAAACATGAAAACTATATGAAAAAACACTAGAAAGTGTTCCAGTTTAAAACTTTAGCAAAAAATTGAATACAGGTTTAACAAAACAAATATATAAATATATATATTTCATATTTTTATGTCGACACGAATTGTGACATGCAATTTTCATGTAAAACACAATACAAAAATACATGAATTGTCAAATCTACCAAGAACCTAAACTAACAATGTTAGATCCTAATATTCATGTCTGATCATTTTTCAACATATAATATAACGAAAATTGTAAAAACTAGCACATTGTATCCAACAATGTCCAATCATTCATACAAACAAAAAATTGGACCAAGTGCAAGTAGAACAACCATTAAGTTCCCATATAACATTTTTCTTTCTTCTCAGTTCTCTCTTCTTATAGTAGAAACCCTCTTTTGTTTCTCCTTACCACTCAGGAAACTAACCGACAAAGGATGTCCTGCTCAAGTTCGGAAGGTTACAAAAGCAAGCCTATTAATTGTCTTTGATGCAACTTGGAAAGTAAAATGTTAGTAACATTCATCAATAATAACAGCAAAAAAGATTCTATCTTACTAAGAACTTTCCTAGAATGGTAATTATTATTCAAGAAGTCTATATCAAGATGTTCAAAGCCTCGTTAATTCCTCTTTTTTTTGGAGAAATTACTTGACGAATTCAACAACCATGGAGTACTAAACTCAATATGAGAAATAACCCCAGAAACTAACTCCAAATAGAAAAAACAAATTCAACAAATATTAAGGAAAATCCTACATGGACTGAAAGGCAATGGTGACATAAAAAAGGAAAATATTGCGCAAAGAGGAGGAATACAATGGAAAAAAATTTTTTCTAGCCTAAATGACTAGGGAATGGTTGATAGCTGGCAGCAAGAAACAATGACTAGAACACTGCAATTTGATGATGGGAGGAGAGAGCAGAAAGTGTTAGAATTTTGAGGAAAATGATGTTTTTAATTAGGTCTAAGAAAGCAATAAAGAGTAAATATATATATATATATATGCCAAATTTGGCCTTGTTTATTAAGGGCAATTTAGATGAAAAATCAATTTTAATCGTGGTGTTTTGGTGATATAAGTTAATGTAAGATTCAATAACTACTAAATTGTACAAAATCTAAGGTGGATATGGAAATAAGATCCATGCAGGTTGGAATCTCATTCCTTCCGTATCTTATGTTCCAAGGGTTTGAAACCAAACAGGGTTATGTTTGGAAACTAATATAGATTTTTGCCTGAAATAAAAAGTGCCTTAAACAAAATGGCCCTCAAGGGTTACAGCTTGATACTTTTAACTTTGGAGGCAGGGGAAAGAATTATGACATTAGAGAGAGTTATACTTATGTTTCAAGTAGCTCAAAGCCCAATGAGCTTTTATATGTATACAGAAAATCATGAATGTGAAATTGTGGGTGTTGCAAGAATTGAATTCACAGAGCCACATATAAACCAAGAATCATGCCACCAGATGAAGTGTTTTTGATATTGACAATCTAAAGATTTTGCTTGTTATATTTTTTTGCTTGTTTTATAGTTTTGGAGCAAAATTTGATTACACGTGAATTGCTTATGAATGCCATTGTAGTAAAAATAAGGTTTTTCAGTATTTATTTTTACTTGATAATTTGACTGGTTTGAAAATTTCATAGATTATTGCAATTCTTCATGCATTTGCTTGTGGATTGTACTTTTAGCTTGTTAAACTGTTCTGAATAAAAAATTTTTGAGAAACAAGGGAGACAAATACTCTTCTAGTTTTAAAATTACAATCTTTTGTACTTGGAGAAACTGGTATACTAATGTTGCTGATTATAATTGATTGCAGGACTATGTAAAGCTGCAAATGAGGAACATGCAAGGGACCTGCCAGTTATGAATGGCATCAAAGAAGACATGAAATCCATTGGAGTTATGGACTATGGGTCCCCTGCCTACAATGAAGGGCTCTCCAATCTTTCCACCCGACTCAAATCATTACAGGTATAGGTCTACTATCATGCAAAATGGGTTCAGGACCATCTGTAAGATGGGTAATATCATTGATTGTCTCTAATGATGATTGTTGTGCCATCGCCCTTCTGTGTATGTTGAATCGTGCAAGCCAATCAAGGGAATAATATAGATTGTCCTGGGAATATGATATTTGATTATCTTTCCTTGTGTTGTTGACAGAAACATTGTAAAGAACATTTCGCTGAGGAGGAGAAAGATTTACTGCCATTGTTAGAGGCAACGGAGCTGAGTGGAGAACAACAAATGAGGGTATTTGAACAGTGCTTTGATGCAATGAGGGCAACTCATTCACATTTATTCAACTTTTTCCTTGAAGGCCTACTCCCATCAGAAGCTATGGAATATGTGGACTTGATCATGAAATGCAGTGACAAAGAACTAACAGCCTCTATGATTCAGATCATTGCAAAGTAATACTTTGTGGTGTTGGGTAGATAGATTGTGTGAATAGGGAAATTTGAACTGCATTTAGTTACCTCTTTTTCTCAAGCCACAACAAATGAGTTAATCTGGTTGTGTAGTCTGTTGTTGGCATCATATTGTACCTATTGGAGATATTTAGATGATAAAAACTTATTATTAATAATAGAGATATTGAAGACATGGTTCTAATATATAATAACCATGTACTTGAGAACAAATATTTGATTCCACTTTTTAATGGACAAAAACGTCAATTTATGTTTTATGATATTTTTAAATTGTTATTTCAAATGTTTTTGTGTTATAAATACTTATGAGATTTATTCATTAATTTATGAAAAGTAATTTTAATTTCATTGAAAGACTTATCAAATCTATTTATTTAAGAAATAAAAAATTTATATTTTACATTATTTCATTATTTTCAGAATTCCAATTCTACATTTTTTAACGGTAAAACACTAAACATTATGTTAATATAATGTATTTTATACATAGTGACAAGTATTACATTCTATTGCAAATCTATATCCAACTATTATTTTAGGGTCTAGGGGAGATGACTTAATTGAATGACACGTGTTTTTTTAATTCTAAATTTTTTATTGAATTAAATTGAATGAGTTATAAAATTTACATTGTATAATTTGTAATTAATTAGTTCATGAATACTACTAACTAATTTTTTTCATTTTTTTTTTATTTCAAATTACCCAAATTTAATTATTCATGAATCTAATTATTCGAATCAAATTCATAGTATTTATGAACCTAATTAGCTATGAATAATTGTATTTCGTATTCAGTGTCATTTATATTTAATATTTTGAATCTAAAATTACATATTAGTAAGTAGTATAAATAACCATGAATTAATCCAAAATTACATAAATCTAACTATTCATAAATTTATCCATTCCTGAATTCATAATATTCATAAATTTAATTAATTGTGAATAAATGTACTCCATTATTAGTGTATAGTTTAACATATCATTTAATAATATAAATACCCACAAATCAATTTTAGATTTTTGTATTTTAATTTTTTTTTTTTTTTTTTCATATTTGTATATGTTGTAAAAGTATACGTTTTTAGTTTGTATCATTAAAAATTAAGTTTTAGTTTTTAATTTTACATCAATTGAGTTTTGGTTGAATGAATTTGTTGATTTGTTCGTATGCAGTATTTTATAAATATCTATTATTTATTCATACTGAATAAAATTATGATTAGAGCAAAACCAGGTAAAATTTTCTAGTTTTGATTATTGTGCGCTTTGCTAATTTCAGTTGCTCAGAAAATATGTAACTATATATTCAATTTATAGTTATTATTTAAAAATAAATAAAAGAAAAACAAATATCCACAACCAATAATCATCACAACAAATTTTGGTCTATAATATATTTAACAATACAAATTTTGATAAAACTTTTGATTAACGAAAGCAGTTTTAATATTTTATTTTATTTTTAAATTTCATTTTAAAATTGTTATTTATAATTTATAGTTATAATAATAAACTAATAGTAATAGGATTTATCTTATTTATTAATAAGAATTATATTAAAAGAAAACTTGATTCAAAATTCTTTGTACGTTATATCTATACTTATTAAAGCTTGCCTCTAATTTCAATTTCTTGTTAAATCAGTAATTTTACTGTTTATTTAAGTGTCAAATAAACAAATAATTATCACATTAACTTAATTAGTTAGCCATCTCATTGTCATATCAACTTTGTTAATTAATCACCTCATTCCTACATCACCATGACTAAAAACCAATTAAATTGAAATATCTCTTAAAGAAGAAGGATTAATATTATGAATGACTCATAAATTATAACAAAATATTTAATGTGGTTCATAAATTTTAAAAATCTTTCATGTAATACTTAAATTATGAATTTGTTAAATAATGTGGTACTCACTTTTAATGTGACTAATTTTAAATGATAACACATGATAGACAAATAATCATCTAAATACCACATTATTTAATAAATTCATAATTCAAACACCACATTAGAGATTTTTTAAGTTTTAAGTATCATATTGAATATTTCACTATAATTTAGAAATAATTCATGACATTAAAAAAAAAAAAAACCAAAAAGAAACAATATACCTTTTTCATTCAAAATCATGGCTATTGTCAACAAAGCTAGTCATTATCACTCGGATGGTTGTTTTTAACAAACTACCTACTAAAGATAGAATAAGATCATGGGGGAATTAATGTAAATAGAAACTACGTGTTGTGTAAATAAGAGGTAGAAAGCAGGAAATATAACTATTCAAATGATGTTTGGAATCAAGTTTTGTAGCTATGCAACCAGTGCATGGAGGTTACTGACTGGGAAAAGGAGCTGCAATGGACAATCAAGAGGCTAAGAGGAAAGGCTTTGCTGTCAATCCTATTGAGACTTACCTAGGGTGCATAAATATATTAGATATTGAGGGAAAGAAATAAGAGGCAATTTAAAAATGAAGAGTGTATAGAAGAACTGGTCTTAAGACACATCAAAGAAATGTTTAGATATAGATTGGCAGGATTAAAGAAAATTAATTTTGATCAAGTCAATAAGGATTATATGAAAGATGGGAACTAAATAGAGACATTTTTGTATAGTAATACTTGTATAGTTTGATTGGCTGATTGGTTGTACAGTGCACTTGTAGTAGTGAATTCACTACTTCTTGGATAATAAAATACAATTTATCCAAAGAAAATATTAAATATTTCATGTAGAGATTGCTATAGGGTCTTTTGCCTGCTAAGAATGCACTTAGAGTGAAAGAAATTCCTATTGATAATGGATATTGTGTTTGTGGAGTTGTAAATGAATCCCTTTATCATATTTTCTTTGATTGTGCCTTTAATCGTACTATCTGGTTAAAGGTATGTCCATGGTCGATGCCTTTCATGGAAGTTTAGTCTTCATCTCTGGATTTTTGGCTAAACCTTTTTATTAAAGCAAATCAAGTGGATCAACTTGAAGGCTGTTTGAATGTTTTATGGTTATTCTAGTCGAATAGGAATAGATGTTATCATGATTTCAGTTGTGGCTCAACAAGGGCATTGGCTACAATCATTGTTATGCTGGCACAAAAGGTTGAAGCATTGGGGAGCTTGGTCCTTGGTGGTGTTTGAATTGATACTATACAATGTTGATCACCGTCTTTGGACCATGATTGGAAAATTAATACCGATGCTATTGTTAATGCATAAAATAGAATGGCTGAGTTAGATATGGTAGTAAGGGATAGAGGTGGATCAGTTTTGTTGAGTGCAGTAAACAAGGTGACTCACGTGTAGAGTCCTTTTTGTTATAACATATATATTCGTAGACCTATCGTTAGATATAAACTTTAGGAGTCACCATTAATCTTTTTTTGTTTAGGTGTTATTGGTCACCTAACTGAATCTATCACATTTTAAAAGAAGTCCTAAGTTTAACTTAAATATCTTTAAATTATAAATTCTAGTTTACAAAATCATATTTAGGTTCGAAAGTATAATTATATGTAAAGAAGGTTATAACACCCTCCCAATGACTATCCAAAAGATAATACTAGTTTGATTTCAAGTTAGTCAAGCCTTAAAATGTATTTATGATTTTACCAAATAATTTAATATTGAAAGGTAGCGAGTTATGGTGCTTGATCTTAAATTGGGCACATATCTCCTTCATCATCTTACTATTTAAGTTCTTGACATTATCTGAGATGATCCTTTCTGGGAGTCCATATTTGCAGATTGTTTCTCTCTTTATAAATTTACAGACCAGTGATCATGTCACATTTGCATATAAAGATGTCTCAAGCCATTTTATGAAGTAATCAATCATCACAAAAGTGAATATATTCCCATTTGATTAGAAGTAAGATCAATAACATCTATACCCCACATAAAAAATAGCCAAGGTGCTGCCAAAACATGTAAAGCAATGGGGGGAGCATGGATTTTGTCAGTATAAATTTGACACTTGTAGTACTTTTAAGTACAGTCAATGTAGTCACTCTTCATTCTTAACTAGTAGTAGCCCAACTCTTATAATCTGTCTTGCCATCAATATCCATTGGCATGTGCCTTACATACCCCATCATGCACATCCTCAATAATCTTCTTTGCCTTAACTGCATTTACACATTGTAATAACATCTGATCTTGACTTCTCTTATATAAAATATCACCATTTAAGAAAAACAATCCCATAGCCAATCTCATTAAGACTTTCTTATCATTCTTTGTTGCTTGATCTAGATATTGTTAATTCTTTAAGTACTGCAGGATATCATAATACCAAGGATTTTCATCTTCCTCCTCTTTCACATTGGTGCAATGTACTGCCATATCTTTAACATCTAATTTAATGGGATGAATCTTAATATTGTTATCAACCTGGATCATTGTCGCCAAAGTAGGTAAGGCATTTGCAATATGATTATCTTCACGAGGTAAATGTTTGAATCGGACTACTTTGAACTGTTAGAATAACTTTGAAATATAATTATGGTATAGGATAACCTTCGAATCTTTTGTCTCCCATTCTCCTTTCAATTGATAAATGACAAAGGTTGAATCCCTAAACACCTTCAATAACTTAATCTTTCTATCTATAGCAGCTTGTAAACCCATGACACAGGCCTCATAGTTTGCCATATTATTAGTGCAATTGAAGTTCAACCTTGCCCTAACAAGATAATCATGTCCTTTAGGAGATATCAAAATTACTCCAATTCCATGCCCCAAAGCATTAAGAGCTCCATTGAAATACGTTTTCCAAGACTTTTCATTGTCATCCTTTTTTTCCAATTCAAATATGAGCATTAAATCTTTTTCTGGAAAATCAAGCACCACAACAATTAAGATTTTTTTTTGTGATGATTTTATTGTGACCATAAGTAATTTTGTCACAAATATTAGATTTTTTGTGATGAAATTTTCCTATGACACCATTTTAATAAGTAATTGTCACGTATTGTTATTCGATAACTAATATAATATTAATTGTGACGGAATAAACTTTTTTACAATTAAATTGTATGTTTTTATGACACAAAATTATTTGTGTCTATAGAATCGTCACTGATAAAGTGCACAAATTTGCGACAAATGATATTTGGTGGGAAGTAATGTATACTAGTGATGAGATATAAAGTGATCACTACTATTAGACATTTTTGTGACAAAAAAATAGTTTATCACATAATACTTTACTTTTATTTTAAAAT